TTTTTAAAAAAAAAAGATTTATTTATTTATTTGAAAGTCAGAGTTACACAGAGAGAGGAGAGGCAGAGAGAGAGAGAGAGAGAGAGAGAGGTCTTCCATCCGATGGTTTATTCCCCAATTGGCTGCAACAGCCAGAGCTGTGCAGATCCGAAGCCAGGAGCCAGAAGCTTCTTCCAGGTCTCCCACCTGGGTGCAGGGGCCCAAGCATTTGGGCCATCTTTTGCTTCCCCAGGCCATAGCAGAGAGCTGGATCAGAAGTGGAACAGTCAGGTCTTGAACTGGCACCCATAGGGGATGCTGGTGCTTCAGGCCAGGGCATTAACCCACTGTGCCACAGCACTGGCCCTTCATGTTTTCTTAAGATTAATCGTAAGTATTTCTTTATTTGACAACTTTTTGTTCTTGAAGTCTTTCAATGGAGTATTTCAGGCATGGAAAGCCAAGACACTCTGGCAAAAGATCTCTGTGAGTGAGATCTCAGTGGAAAGAACAGGTCTTCAAAGAAGGAGGTACCTTTCTCTGAAGGGAGGAGAGAACCTCCACTTTGACTATGACCTTGTCTAAACAAGATAAGAGTCGGAGAACTCAAGGGGCTTCCATAGCCTTGGAAACTCATGACTGGAGCATAGGGAGATTACTGATGCCATAGACAGGAGTGTCAATTGGTAAAGTCAACAACAGGAGTCACTGTGCACTTACTCCTCATGTAGGATCTCTGTCCTTAATGTGCTGTGCATTGAGATTTAATGCTATAACGAGTACTCAAATAATATATTTCACTTTGTGTTTCTATGGGGGTGCAAACTGTTGAAATCTTTACTTAATGCATACTAAACTGATCCTCTGTAAAAAAAAAAAAAAAAAGAAAGAAAGAAAGAAAGAAAAGAAAAGAAACTATCAACTCCCAACTTGACTCTCACTGGGATTAAACATGACAATAGGTCTGATCTGATTTCAATTTTTCACTTTATGTTTCTGTGTGGGAGCAAACTGTTGAAATCCTTACTTAATGTATACTAAGCTGATCTTCTGTATATTAAGATAATCGAAAATGAATCTTGATGTGAATGGAAGGGGAGAGGGAGTGGGAAAGGGGAGGGTTGTGGGTGGGAGGGACGGTATGGGGGGGAAGCCATAGTAATCCATTATTCGTACTTTGGAAACGTATATTCATTAAATAAAAGTTAAAAAAAAAAAAAAAGAAGTCTTTCAATGGTGAATTCTCAATGTTATTTTATTTCCATTGTTGTCAATATTTTGTCAAATCAGCAAGAACTCAAAATCTTTTTCTGATGGGTTCCTAAAATTTTCTCATTTTCACTAACTAGATTATCAGACTAGGAACTCACTCTTAACACTTTAACAAAATATTCAGATCCTACAGAAAGTATTATTGTTGTTTCACTAACTTCCCAATGCCAGAGTACTTACTACTGATTTAATCACTCATTTTTGTCACTTTGTTTCATATTATTCTGATTTTTAATCAAAAAAATTTAAGTTTTTTTTAACGTATTTATTTGAAAGGCAGAGCAACAGAGAAACAGAGTGACAGAGAGAGAAAGAGCTCTTCCTCTGCTTGCTGGTTCATTCCCCAAATGACCGCCACAGCAAGGTCTGGGCCTGGTTGAAGCCAAGAGCCTGGAACTCCATCCTGGTCTCTCAGGTAGGCGGCAGAGGCCCAAGCACTTGGACCATCATCCACTGCTCTCCCAGGCACATTAGCTGGAAGCTGAATGGAAACCCGACCAGCTGGGACTCAAACCAGTATGCTGACGTGGGATGCCAGTGTTACAAGCAATGGTCTAACCAGCTGCACCACGGTGCCAGGCACCTAATATGTATTTTTAAACAACATTAAAATTTGCTTTAATAAAGGACTCACTTCATCATCTAATTAATACTTGAGGTAGGAATATTCTGAAATCAAGGGGCCGGCGTTGTGACATAGTGGGTTGGGCTGCTGCTTGCAGTGCCGGCTCAGGACCTGGCTGCTCCTCTTCTGATCCTGCTCTCTGCTATGGCCTGGGAAAGCAGTAGAAGGTGGCCCAGGTCCTTGGGCCCCTCTACCCACATAGGAGACCTGGAAGACGCTCCTGGTTCCTGACTTCGGATCGGCACAGCTCCAGCAGTTGCGTTCAGTTAGGGAATAAACCACCAATATAGGATCGCGCTCTCTCGCTCTCTCTCACTCTCTCTGCCTCTCCTCTCTCTGTGTAGTTCTGACTTTCAAATAAATCTTTAAAAAAAAAAGAAAAGAAAAGAAAAGAAAATAGAGGGGCTGGTGGTGCTGTTGTGTAGTAGGTTAGGCCTCCATCTGTGGTGCTAGCTTTCTATATGGGTGCCAGTTTGTGTCCCAAATGCTCCTCTTTCCATCCAGCTCTTTGCTATGGCCTGGAAAAGCAGTGGAAGAAGGCCCAAGTGTTTGGGCTCCTGTACCCATGTGGAGACCCAGAAGAATCTCCTGGCTTCTTTGGATCAGCTCAGCTCCAGCAGTTGTGGCTATTTGGGGAGTGAACCAGCAGATGAAAGACCTCTTCTCCCTCTGTAATTCTGCCTCCCAAATAAATAAATCTTTATTAAGAAGAATAAGAAAATCGATGGGGGAGGAGGGTGTTTAATGCAACAGTTGGGGCCGGCGCCATGGCTCACTAGGTTAATCCTCTGTCTGTGGCGCCAGCATCCCATATGGGCGCCGGATTCCAGTCCCAGTTGCTCCTCTTCCAGTCCAGCTCTCTGCTCTGGCCCGGGAGGGCAGTGGAGGATGGCCCAGGTGCCTGGGCCACTACACCCGCATGGGAGACAAGGAGGAAGCGCCTGGCTCCTGGCTTCAGATCAGTGCAGCACCGGCCGTGGCAGCCATTTGGGAAGTGAACCAACAGAACAAAGACCTTTCTCTCTGTCTCTCCCTCTCACTGTCTATAACTCTACCTGTCAAATAAAAATTAAAAAAAAAAAGAAAATGGATATAGAAGATATTAATTATTAGATACTAAATATTATTAAATGTTAAGTGCTGGAAAATGGAAGGTCATCAGCCTGTAGCCTGGAAAAGGGCCCTCACCGGAAGCTCACCTTGTGACACCCTGACCTCAGACCCCTGGGCTCGGAACTGTGGAAAACAAAGGTCTGGTGTTTATATGCTGCTTTGTATTGAAGCCCGAGCTGACCAACATGGGTCTGTAACATTGGCTTCAATACTCAGGCCACTTGATAGAGGGCACTCGGTACAAGTCATAGAGCTGGTATGCATATCCAGTCCTATTTCCAGGGTGCCACTCTAGTAGCTTCGTGGACAGACTATGCCAGTGAGGAGCAGGCTCAAAGTGTTTCTAAAGGAGCTAAGATGCCAGGACGCATCCAACCCCCACCCCTGGGCCCTCAACAACAGTTTTAGGCACCCCAGCCCCTTTACTCAGCCTCCCTTTAAGAGCAGAGCACCCTGCAGGCTCAAGGCTGGGGGCAGGGACAGTGGTGGCCATCAAGGCTGAGTTCTCAGTGTTCGGTAGTGCTTGCCTTCGCCTCTGGCTGGAAAAATCGAAGCTGCAGGCAGAGTAGATTACGACAGGAGGCTGTGCGCCAGAAGGACTCCTATTGAGCCCTGATGGTGCAAAGCAACCCAGTGTCAAAGGACGTTCTAGGTTCTGTTTCTACTGTGATCTTTTCACTGAGCACCAGCCACTGTGCTAAAAGTGATAAACATGTGACTTCATTTCATCTTTAAAACTGTCCTGTGATACCAGCATTGGATTAGCCAATAAAAACCTGAAGTTTAGAGAGATTAAGGAATTGCTGTCCTATCAGGACTCACCACTAATAAAACAGATAAATCTAGTAAGTAGAAACCAGGCCTATCAGGAATTTTGGAGTTTTGGTTACTGCTTTACACCACTCCCCATGAACTTGTAACCTACCATGTGATCCACTTTGAAAAGATTCAGCTACCATCTGCTATCACGCCATGGGGAAGGACTAAAGGCCTATCCTCATTCACCCAGAGCCTTCTATTGCCTGTAACAAGGCAGGACTGGCAAAATCAGGATCCCCCAGGAATGTGTTTGTCTCTGACTCAAAGTACAAATGAGTCAGATGCTGTCACTACTGCTGGAGACAGGTAGGGAGTGAGGCACACCTGTCTGCCCAAGGAGCTGCCTTCCCAAAAGGCCCCCTGCAGGAAATGGGGAAGCTTTGGCTCCCCTCTGTACCCCCAGCTCCTAACACAGCACCTGGCACCTACTGGGGAAACAGGTGTTGAGGTCACTGCACTAATCTCGGAGTAGTAGGGCTGAGGAAGGGAACTGATCATGGTTAAGCGCCTACTAGGCCTCAGGACTATGCTAAGCACTGGCAACACAAAGGCGGGACCCACTGGCTATGTGAAGTGCAGGGCCAGGTGCAAAGTGACATGAAGGGCAATGGTCATTCGTTCCATTTTAAGAATTCCAAAATGAGAACAAGACAGGCATTTGGCCTAGCAGTCAAGCACTTGTTAGGATACCTACATCCCATATTGGAGTTCAAGACTAGGTACCAGCTTCCAATTCCAGCTTTCTTCTAGTGAAGACTAAGGGAGAAAGCAGGTGGTAGCTCAAGTAGTTGGTTTCCTGCCACTCAGGTGGGAGACCTTAACCGAGGTCCTGTCTCTTGGCTTAGGCGTGGCCCAGTCATGGCTGTTGCAAGAATGAACCAACAGTTGGGAGCTCCTTTCTCTTTCCTCTCCTCTCCTCTCCTCTCCTCTCCTCTCCTCTCCTCTCCTCTCCTCTCCCTTCTATCCCTCCCTGTCCCTCTCCTCTCCTCTTCTCTTCATTCTCTCTCTCTCTGCTCCTCAAATGAACAAATAAAGATCATGAAAATGAAATTTAAAACAAGAACAGCAGAACATTAAGCCAAGCACAGGCACATTCTGAGCCCGGGTCCTGGGTGACTGTGTGGGTTACATAATCAGGAAGTTGACCTTGAATGAATTGGAAGTTTCTACCATCAAAACACGCTCGTTGCAGTGGGCAAGCAGACAAGACATGCGCCATCGTGATCAGCGGACAATGACACATGAAGGGAGGGAGGACTGCAGTCTCAGTTGGCCCTCACTCAGGTATTAAAATCTTTATTAAAACTCTAAGATATTTTTATTGCATTACTTGTTTAAAAGCTTTAGTGAACATTCCACGTCACTCAATTCCTGCTTTTAAAGTGTACAATGCAGTTTTTAGCAGACTCACAGAGTTGTGTAACCATAACCATCATAAATTTTAGAACATTTTTGTCACTCCAGAACAAAACCTCACACTTATAAGGAGCCACCCTCATCTCCCTGCATCCCTCCCAGTATCAGGCAACCACTTGTTGCCATTCTGTCCCCATGGATTTGCCTACTCTGGACATTTCACATAAATGGCATCATGAGGTAACCTTTTATGTCTGGCTTCTTTCCCTTAGTATGATGTTTTTAAGGTTCATCCATGTGGGAACATGTATATACATGTTCAGGGTATAAGTTTCAAAACTCCCAGTGATACCGGAGGCCCACACTCTAGACTATGTGTACAGTGGGCCCTCTGCACTGGTGAGCTACACATCCATGGATTCAACTGACCATGGGTAGAAAATGTTTGGGAAAAAATTACATCTATAGTGAACATGTTCAGATCTATTTACTTAGCATTTACATTGTATTAGGAGTTGTAAGTAATCTGGTATACAGGAGGATGAGCATAGGTTATAAAGAAGTGCTATGCCATCTTTAATTTTTTTTTTCATTTTATTTGAATTGGAGAGAGAGAGAGAATGTTCAATCTGCTGGTTCACTCCCCAAATGCCTACAGCCCAGACTGCTGTGTCAAGCTAAGCCAGGAACCTAGAGCTTTATCTGAGTCTCCTACATGGTTACTTGAGTCATCACCTGCTGCCTCCCAGGGTGCACATTAGCAAGAAGCTGGAATCAGAAGTGGAGGCAGGACTCAAACCAGACACTATGATATGGTGTCTTAACCACTTCATCCAATGCCCATTCCCAAATTCTATTTCATGTAAGAGACTTAAGCATCTGCAGATTTTGGTATTTGAGAGGGTTCTGGAACCAATGCTGGGGGACCACTGCCCTTTGTGTTCTACCAGATTCACAAACATGCATATATGTAGTATGTTTCCCATCTTAACTAAGCATTTATCATGCACACCCCACAGCTGTAACTTTGCAGTTTGAAGGGTAGCAACAATCCTCAATTTCACAGATGGAGATTGGTTTTTCCTGTAGATCTCAGAGCCCTCAGCATATGCTTCTTTTTCTTTCCTTATGGAGAACTTTCACTTTTCACTTAGAGCAAGCACTTCATGGCTTTTCTCCAGCATGCCTGAATTGCTGGTCTCACTGATCTTGTGCTTTAGGGCCATTGTTAAGCAATATAAGTCACTTGAACACCAACAGTGGGATATCTTGACAGTCAATCTGATAACCAAGACAGCTGCAGTGTGATGGACAGGTGGTAGTGCGTGCAGTGTGGATGCACTGGGCAAAGGGACAGTGTGAGATTTCATCACACTACTCAGAATGGTACACAATTTAAAACCTATGAATTGGTTATTTCTGAAAATTTCCATTTAAAATTTTTGGACCAGAGTTGACTACAGGTAACTGAAATTGAGGAAAGCAAAACCATGTAAGGTGGGGACAGGTATTGTATATCATCAAACCAAGATTCTGAAGGCTACACAGTTTGCTCACAGTCACCCAGGTGGTAAGTAGCAGTATTTTTTTCTAAGATTTATTTTATTTATTTGAAAGGCACAGTTACAGAGAGACAGACAGACTCAATCTCTCAATCTACTGGTTCATTCCCCCAGTAGGTGGGGCTGGGCCAGGTCAAAGCCAAGAGCCAGGAACTTACGGTCTCCCACATGGGTATAGGGGCCCAGGCACTTGGACCATCTTCTACTGCTTTCCTAGACCATAGCAGTAGAAGATGGCCCAAGTATGTGGGAGACCCAGAATAAGTGTCTGGCTCCTGGTTTCCCAAGTGATAGCAGAGAGTTGGATTGGAAGAGGAGCAGGCAGGACTAGAACTGGCACCCACAGAGGATGCCAACACTGCAGGCAGGGGCTTAGCCTACTATACCACAGCACTGGCCCCAGGCTGTTCCACTTCTGATCCAGCTCCCTGCTAATGTGCCTGGGAGGGCAGCAAAGGATGGTTCAAGTCCTTGGGCCCCTGAACCCTTGAGGAGACCTGGATGAAGCTCTAGACTCATGGCATTGGCCTGGCCCAGCCCTGGCTGTTGTGGTTATTTGGAGAGTGAATAGTAACTCTGCCTTTTGAATAGATGAAATAAATCTTTTAAAAGAAAAAAGTTTTAAACCTCCAAACAAGTTGAAAGTATAATCCATTAAACACTGTAACTACTTTCTATAGATTTAGCAATTATTAAGATTTTGTCACATTTCCCTCTACATACCTACACATAGCATACTTTAGAAAAAAAAAGCAGGACATAATCATCATAACACCTCACGCATAAATATTTCAATATGAATCTGCTAGCAAAAGACATTTTACTGGGGCCAGCATTGTGGGGCAGCAAGTTAAGCTGCCATCTGCGATGCTGGCATCCCTCCTCCCATCCCAGCCTCTGCCATTGCAGCCATCTGAGGAGTAAACCAGTGGATGGAAGATCTCTCTCTCTCTCTCTCTCTCTCTCTCTGTTTCTACCTCTCTGATTTTACCTTCCAAATAAATAAATACATCTTTTTAACAAAAGATGTATTATTATTTTTAAAAGACATTTTACTAAATAGCTATAATGCCCTTCTAAGGAGACTAACATTAATTCAATAATATAATGTAGTATATTATCTATATTCAAATTTTTTGCAGTGGTCTTAAGATGTCTTTTATAAAAGGCAAATCCAGGATCTAACCAAGTTATACATGACATTGGCTATTATCCCCCTAGTCTCTCTTAGTCTATAAAATACTCCACCTTTCGGTACTTTCCATGACAACATTTTTTTAGGAATCCAGGTTTTTTTCAAATTCTAATTTTATTTTCTTGTATTTATATACACATATACATACAAGTATATTTATATACATATATTTACATATATAAATTCATATATATTCATATACATATATAAAGTTAGGCACTTTAACCAAGAATTCTGTATAGGGGTATTATGTACCTTTTTGTGCATAGTACCAGGAAGCCACCAATTTCTTACTGTTGGTGATACAAAATTTGATTGATTGGTTAGGATTATGTCTACCAGGACGGATATTTGGCCTAGCAGTTAAGATGCCACTTGGGATACCATGTCTCAAGTCAGAGTGTCTGAGTTAGGGGCCCAGTTCCACTTCCAATTCCAGCTTCCTACTAATGCCTACCCTGAAGGGCACCAGGTGATGGTTTGAGTGGTTATGTTCCTGCTAGCCAAGTGGGAGACCTGGATTGGATTCCAAGCTCCTAGATTTGGCCTAACCAGTGCTGACTATTTCAGGCATTTGAGTAAGGAATCAGCAAACATCAGTTCTGTCGGTAGCTCTGTCTCTAAAACAAACCAAAAGCAAGGGTGATATCTCCATGGTAAAGACATATTTTTCCTTTGGATCCTACTTTGAAATTATGTGAATATCTTGTTCCCCAACATCAATAATTCAAATAACTTTTTCACCCATTGGTGATCCTAGCCCGAATGGCTTCTTACACTGATAGTTGCAAGTTCAAATTCTATCATTTCTCTGTATTTATTAGCTGGTATGCTTCTGAATCACTGTGAACTCACAGAGTTTTTATATTTCATTTAATGTATTATAATCCATTACCATCATCATTTTTTGATGTTCGAATTGTCCTAAATTTGTCAAGTGGGAGCTCTAAGATTCAAAAGTCTTTATAATAATTTAATGTGTATGTCATAAAACATGATGGTTTGGAAACACATGAAACTCTAAAATGTAGATTATATTTACATATTTTTGTACAGTTTTTAGATAGTTTGTTAGTATAAAATATTTGCTACTTAAAACAAGTTCAGAAAAAGTCTGTTGGCAACCCCTTTGATTTTCTTAGAGCTGTATTGTAAAACATTCTTTGATCTTGATGTTGATGTATTATAATAGGACTTCTTCCTAAGAAACTCAATGGATTTTGATCTTTATATGTTATTTGAGATTGTAACAAGATTTTAAAGAACCTCAACTTTTAAAAAAGATTTATTTATTTATTTACTTATTTGAAAGGCAGAGTTACAAAGAAAGGGAAAGAGACACCTACACACACATACAACATACATACACACAGAGATCAATCTCCCATTCCCCAGATTCACTCCCCAAATGCTGGGGTCAAAACCAGCAGCCTAGAACTCAATCCAGGTCTCCGTGTGGGAAGCAGGAATCCAGTTACTTCCACTTCCATCACTCCTCCCTATGGTCTGTATTAGCAGGAATCTGGAGTCAGAAGCAGAGCCAGGATACCAGTGTGCATATGGGATGCACCACAGCGCTGGCCCTGCCTCAGGCATCTTTTTTTATTTTTTATTTTTTTATTTATTTGACAAGTAGAGTTATAGACAGTGAGACAGAGAGAGAGAGAGAGACAGAGACAGAGACAGAGAGAGACAGAGAGACAGGTCTTCCTTCCGTTGGTTCAGCCCCCGAATGACCGCTACGGCTAGAACTGCGCCGATCCGAAGCCAGGAGCCAGGTGCTTCTCCTGGTCTCCCATGCGGGTGCAGGGCCCAAGCACTTGGGCCATCCTCCACTGCACTCCTGGGCCAGAGCAGAGAGCTAGACTGGAAGAGGAGCAGCCGGGACTAGAACTGGCGCCCATATGGGATGCCGGCGCCACAGGAGTGAGCCACAGCGCCGGTCCCTTCCACCTCAGGCATCTTAACCAGCCTCTCAACCTCTTAACTGCTAGGCCAAATGCCTGCCTCCGTTGAACTGCTAAGGTACTGCATCCATGTTCTAGATCAGGAAGAAAAGGGAAGGATCAAGAAGCCAAACTGAATCATCCCTGAAATAAAACTTTCTAAGAAGCCCAAGCAGATACTTCCGTCTATATCTTTTGGCCAGAATTGGAACACATAATCTCCTACCTGCAAGGAAATCTGTAGAAGAGGGGTGGCCATCGTGGCGTAGCCAGTTCAAGTCCCAGCTACTCCACTTCTGATCCAGCTCCCTGCTATTGCTTGTAGGAAAACAGCAGCAGATGATCCATGATCACTGGGCCTCTGCACCTACGTGGGAGACCTGGATAAATTCCTGGCTCCTGGCTTTGGCC